CGGTCATTCCTCATTCCCGGTCATTCCTCATTCCCGGTCATTCCTCATTCCCGGTCATTCCTCATTCCCGGTCATTCCTCATTCCCGGTCATTCCCCATTCCCGGTCATTCCCCATTCCCTGTTTTAGTAACATCCCAGCGAAACTCGGTCTATGGAGCAGCTTTTGCTGTCTAAGCGATTAAAGAATTAGGGAATTTCCCAATCTTGAGAACCAAGAAAACAAACTCATTGTTTGACGTTTGGCGAGATACGAAGCATGTGGAGGAACAATAGGGATAAACACTCCCACACCAACCTTTCCACACATTATTTATAAAACCATGCTGGGTAAAAAGTTTGGCGGAAACTTTAAGGTAGTACCGGGAATAAGAATTGACTTGGGAAATTTTTAAAAATCCATTCATTTTTCAAGATTTTCAGTTACCTATTCAAAACCGCAGGAGGAAAATGTGGGTCACCGCATTAGTTTTCGAGTTGTAAGATATCGTGTTAGGGGGTAATTCCAATTATTCATATTGATCTTTCTCTATTATATACGTATTCAAAGTTTGTGTGTAATGTAAAGGCTTTTATCGATAAAAAAGTCTTGACTATACCAAATGACCAATTTTAAGTTTATCTAACATATGATAAGTAGTTCCTTGGAGAAGCATAATAATAAAAGGACAGCTATAGGAAACATATAGTTTCTTACCTCACGACGTTTCGTTGTCATCATGACTTCATTAAAATCTTTTTTATACGAGAAAAAATACCTTCTCTAAATGTTCAGTGACTCTATCAAGGCCAAACTATTTACATAACAATACCTTTTGTTTTTTACATGTAATTATATGTTAATTCGATTGATCTTAAACTACTGTACACTTGAAATTCACTTGATAATGGAGTCATGATGACACCGAAACGTCGTGAAGTAAAAACTATATGTTTCCTATAGCTGTCCTTTTTAACCAGCATATGATGTTATAAAATTAATTTGAGGAGCTGTAGGTAAGGTTCGAAAAATATCTAATCAAAATTTTAAAAACGAGGTACGCGAAATGGATGCGCAGTATGAATGGTCCCAAACTACTTTAATGTTTGGTTTGTGAGAATAAAAGTTAGAAAATCCCTGTGCAGCTGAATGTTTCTATCCATGATTTTATTGATGAAATCCCTGAGGATGGAGAGAAAGTTGGCGCCAAAAAAGCGCGTGCTCCTACCCAGTCCACTGATTAAGACGTCTTGCTACGTCACTGGACAAAACTTCAGCGATAGCAATGTTTTTTTTTCTTATTTAGTTTCTTTTGTTCTCTTCTTATACTAGGTGTGTGTATACAAGTATTGAGCAACAGCAAGTAAATTTATTAATTTATTGACATACATTCAAAACCTATTATGTATTTTAAGAATTTATGTAATAACTACCTTTATTTCTTTTTAAGAATAAATCTCTCATTTTATTGTAACTTGTCTTTAAAACTTTTCCAAAAAATTTATAACTTGTACTTTTTTTTTTAAACACCTTTACTACTTAACACTTATTTAAAATATACGAAGTCTTCTTCTTATGTATTCTCTGTTGCACAGGGTTCTGTGAAAGTTTACAAATCAAAAGTGTTTGTTATCTTGTGTATTTGTATGAGTTTTATATTGTTTTAGTTTATCGCTGCTCTTTTTGAATATTCTGACGATGAAATGAGGTTAACATTGAGTGAATGAGTCTGTAATCAAGGAACACATTTACAAACTCAAAAAGAAACAAAGCAGCAGGTCCTGGTGAATATTCTCATAAATTATGAATGTATACCTCTTAGACTAAAGAGTTGGTGAAACTGTTTGAAAAAATACCTTGTTAATGATTTGACTCGTCCTCCGGCTGCATTACGCGATGGCCATTTGTAGTATAGCCAGGCAGGGGATCCGTCTACAGACAAATTCAGACATTTTACGTGAATTATTTTATAATATGGAGAAATATATCGTTTTAACTATAAGAATGGTATGATAAGCTGGATGTATGATAAGCTGGAGGGCTGGAGGGCTGGAGGGCTGGAGGGCTGGAGGGCTGGAGGGCTGGAGGGCTGGAGGGAGGGTGGGATATATTATAAAAAGTGTTATCCTTACATCCTCATGTTCTACTGGTATGTTCGGCTGAAAAGAAAGAAAGCATGTATACGTCAACACTCAAGATGACAGAAAAAAAGGCCTTGCGTAATATCTATAAGATCAAAATTACAAATTAAAAGTATTTTAGAATTTACTAATCGACGTCGTGTGTCAAGAGAAATGCAAAGAGRGGCATTCATCAATACTCAAAATGACAGTTAAATATAGGTATACCCAATTTTATATTGATGAAATAAAAATAACGAATAAAAAGTACAATTAAGGTGGTTGATATGGATAAAATGCACTTGATTTTTTTCACTCAGATCACTTTACATATGATATCTTAACAATTATGTCCTATAAGTTCTTTCTTTTTTTGAGAAACGGCATAAGAAAACAATAAATTTATCGTAACTAAGACCGCCATTTTGGGTTGCCATATTGAAATAAGATACCATGCAATTGCAATGAGCATGCGTATCAGAGAAATAAGTTGTTTGATGTGTCACATGATGGAAAGAACCTATGAGAAGACGTCGTTGTTATGACCTTGCACGTGAAAACTTCACACCTCTCTTCTTGTTCGCTGCTCTTCTCGCTTGCTGTTTGAAGCTTGTTACTCTAACTTTGTCTCAAAATATGGCCTCTAAAGAGAATGCGTTGTTGGTTTTCGTAACCGAATTTGAAAGAGAATGGTAAGTACTTTGCAATTGAATATTTTCAACTTTCGTTGTACCGTCATAATAATCGAAATTTTTAAAACGTTTTAGACTTGTGATACCCGAGGGTCTAGTGCGGTTGCTCAAAGGATTCTCTATCAAAAGCGGGGAGAGCAGCAAGAACATGAGGAGCCGCATTTATCGAGGGCTTTGGTGCCTCAGGTGGGTAAGTAACTAGTATTTTATTTAAAGATATAACTAGATAAAAACTAGTGTGAGCTGCGTCGGTGT